GCTACTTCACTGTCGGGCCAGCTAGGATCTGGAACCAACTTCCAAGAGAAGTGGTGCTGGCTCCTACCCTGGGGGTCTTTAAAAGGAGGCTTGATAAACACCTGGCCGGGGTCATCTGACTCCAGTTCTCTTCCCTGCCATGGCAGGGGGTTGGACTTCATGATCTGCTCAGGTCCCTTCCAATCCTACCAACTATGAAACTATGAATTATTTCAGTCTATTCAGCCCTGCTAAAGTCGCACCTGAGATACTGTGTTGAGTTTTGATACCATGTTTTAAAAAAGATATAAGCAAACTGGAAAGAGTACAGGGAAGAGCAGCAACATTTGTAAAACTTATAAGCAAAAGCTGAAAGCACTGGGTTTATTTAGGTTAGTCTGGAAAAGAGAAGGCTTATGGAGGGACATGATAACAGCCTTCCAATAGGTAAAAAGCTGTTATCAAAAGGAGGGTGGTCATCGGTTGTCCTGGCCAATGGGAAAAGGACAGGAAGAAAAGAGTTTAATTTACAGGAAAGAAGGTGGAGATCAAATGCTAAGAAAGCCTTCCTAATCATAAAAATCATGAGACACAGGAAAAGGCTATCTACAGAGGTTGACAAATCTCCTTCATGGGAAGTTCCTTGCTTCAGAGCAAGGGATTGAACTAGGTAACTAAACTATTTTAGTTTCATAATTAAAATAGTTAGTTACCTAAAACTAGTTTTGTTTTACGTAACTAACTGCATGAGTAAGTGCCTGTACTATTTAGACCCAAAGTGCTTAATTTAAAAGCCCAATCAAGTCCATCTAAAAATTTCTACTGACATCACTACATTTTGGACAAGGACTAGAACTGCAAGCCCTAAAAAGAAAAGGTACGTTATACTAGTAGTAGATTGAAATATGACAAGAATGTTTTTCATCAAAACATTAATTTCTTTTTATAAAGAAGTCAAAGTACAGGCTTGATCTAACCCAATCTTTAGTTAAAAACTCCAGAATGAGAAATATGACAGTCGTATCTGAAATGTACACCAGTGGGGGCCAACTTTTTTGGCATATGCGCCACAAGGTAAACCTCACATTCTTTCTATGTGCCACTCTGATTCTTTTCCTCTGCCCAATCTCTTGCTCTGCGTTCTGCTTTATCCTGCCTTATCTGATGCTGTGTTTCCCGGTCCCTCTCCAGTTTGTGGCATGCCACACATAGAGGCTGCCCATGCCACTTGTGGCAGG